GCCAAAGGGGAAAAAAAACACATTTAGATGACTTCTACTCTGGAAATGCTGGGATAGGGTTGGTGGGGTTAGGATGCTTATGCCACTTCTGCTGTGGTCAGGTTATGATAGTGTTGGGGGGATAATTAGAAATTAACTTAGACGTTTAACCCTTTAACTTTTCCTGAGTAACTATTAAGCTTAAACAAGTTGGAGTGCTTACCAATTTTAAGGGCTTTTGACTAGTTCCAGATGCAGAGCTGGGGGCGGGGGGAAAACAATCGCCTATCAAAATGTTCAATTTTCTGAGCAAATCCCTTGGAGTCAGCAGTCAGGAACTTTGCATGGTCACCACTTATAACTGCGGTAATGACCACCTTGTTTTTGAAATACTTAGGTCTTGGACTCATACAGCATCTTCCACAACAACCAATGAGCTACTATTGAGCCCTTGTTTAAGAAGGGATGAAAAGGAAAAGCCTGGGAACTGTAGACCTGTGAATCTGACTTCAGTGGTGGGTAAGTTGCTGGAAGTAATTCTGAAAGATAAGATTTATATACATGTGGAGAGGGAAGGACTGATTAGGAAGAGTCAGCATGGTTGTGTGTGAGAGAAATCCTGGTCTCACAAACTTGAGTTTTGAGAAAGCAACCAAGATTACTGCTCTTCCCTTGTCAAACAGTATTTATTTAGACTTTACTAAAGTTAGATCACATGGAATTGAGGGTGAGCTTGGCAATTGGATACAAAATTGGTGTAACAGAAAGATAGAGTCATGATGGAGGGTTGTTTTTCAGACTAGAGGCCTGTGACCAGTGGTGTTGCACAGGGATCAGTGCTGAGTCCACATTTTTGTGCTATTTATATAAATTACATAGATGAGAACACAGAAAGCATGGTTAGTAAGTTTGCAAATGACACCAAGATTGATGGTATTGTGAAGTTATTTAAGATTACAAAGCAATCTTGATCAATTGGGTCAATGGTCTGAAGAATGGCAAATGGAGTTCAATTTGGATAACTGCAAAGCATTGTTTGTCGTACCAAAATACAAAGTGCAGGACTTATACAATTAAAAGTAGGATCTTGGATAATGTCTAGAAGAGAGAGACCTAGGGGTTCAGGTACATAATTTTTAGACAAGGTGGTTAATGTGGCATTAAGCACAGTTGCCTCCATTGCTGAAACCTTTGAATAAAGGAATTGGAACATTATGTTGAAGTTGTACACAATGTTGGTAAGACCTCTTCTGGAGTACTGTGTCCAGTTCCAGTCACCTGGTTATAGGAAGGATATTAGTAGAAAAGGGAGTGAGAGTTATAAAGGAGGGGCTGAGCCTTTTTTCACTGGAGTGTAGGAAGTAGAGGCGTGACCTTGTAGAGGTTTGTAAAATCATGAGGAGTAAAGATAAGGTGAATGGCAGGGATATTGAGACTAGGGTACAACTGTTAAAAGGGGAGGGGGAGACATTTTAAAAAAAAAAAAGACAAGGGAATTTTTTTTGTTTAAAAACACCATAGTTGGTGTGTGGATTGAACTTCCAGAGGAAGCGGTGGATGTCGGCACAGTTAGTGGTTAAAAAGGTATCTAAATAAATACATGAACAAGAAATGTTTGGAGGGATATAGGCCAAACACAGGCAGGTGGGACTAGGTTAGTTTGGGATTATGGTCGACATGGACTGGTTGGGCTGAAGGATCTGTTTTTGTGCCGTATGACTCTATAACTAGACATCCCAAAGTGCTTAACAGCCAATTAAGTAGCTTTGAAGTGTGGTCACTACAGTAATGTGTAAAATGAAGCAGCTAAATTGCATAGAGAAACTGCCAAAACCAAAATGATAAATGTTTTTGGGCTGCTGATTGATGGCCAAATATTTGCTAAAACAATTGCACTGGATAGCTCTTCTACCCTTCTTCAAAAAAAAAAAGTGCCATACGATCTATTCTACAGCAAAATGCAGATGGGGGTCTCAATTTAATGTCTCCTCTGAAAGTGTCAGTCTGAATTAGTGGGCTCAAATCCTGGAGTGAGACTTGAATTCATAACTTTTTAAACTCAGAGGCAAAATTACAAATCAACTGAGCCATAAACAGAAGTGGAATGGGATCCAGAGCAAAATTCACACATTCCAAAGCAAATAATCAAAGCCATTAAAAAAAAACAAGAAGTGTACAGGCTTATTTACAGGAAGGATAGAATTCAAAAGTATAAAAAGTTACGGTAAACCGCACTTGGAGTATTGTCCTGAATTCTGGTCTTCATATTACAAAAGGGATTAGAGGTACTGCAGAATGGATAGCACCAGAACTGAGGGGGTACAGTAGCATTTTCTCTGAAAGAGGGAAATCTGAACAGTAACCTGATAAAATAGTTAATTATGAAGGGGTTTGAAGCGACAGTCAGAAAACATTCCCTTTAGGGTGATATATGGAGCAACAAGCCCTGAAGACTCTGGATATCTAGGAATATTCAGGACTGGATAAAAAGGAAAACAGCCAAATAACTGGTATGAAGTCAGGCCTTAGTAGAGTATAAGTGGGGTGGGGGGGGGGGTGGGGGTGGGGTAGAGGGGAAGACTCAATAATGCAATTAAGACGGCGAAGAGGGGGCATGGAAAAGCATTGCTGGGCAAGATTAGGAATAGTCTCAAAATATTGGAGGAGGAGGAGGAGGAGGAGGAGGAGGAGCTATTAGGGACCAAGGGGCAATCCGTGCGTGAAACACGAAGAAACTGGTAGAGTGTTAAATGAGTACCTCACATCTCTTATTACATGGGAGGAGGATACAAGTACAGAACTTGAGAAGATGGACTGTGAAGTTCTGGAACAGACTGATAAGAAGCAGGGCAGTTTTGGAGGATTTAAAAGTGGACAAAATCATCAGAGCCAGGTAAGTTGTATCCCAGGTTGCTGGAGCCTTGGCCCAAATTTTAAAATGGTCTCTGGCCTTAAGGGAGGTGCCAAAGGACTGGAAGACAGCAAATGTGGTGCCATTTTACAAGAAGGTTGCTAGAGACAGCCCAAGGGAATATTGACCAGTGAGTCCGACATCAGTGGTGGGGAGTCGACTGGTGAAAATGGTGAAGAAGAAAATTAATCCCCATTTAGACAGACAAGGTTTGATCAGGGGATAGTTGGCATGGCTGACAGACGGAGGTCATGTCTAACAAACCTGGTGGAATTTTGAGGCAGTGATCAAGTGTTTGGATGAGGATAGGGCAGTTGATGTAGTTTATATGGATTTCAGCAAAGCCTTTGACAAGGTCCCACCTGGAAGACTGATAAAAAGGTAAAAGCTCATGGGATCCAGTGTAACTTGGCAAGTTGAATCCAAAATTGGCACAGAGATTGGAGACAGGGTTGGAAGGCTGTTTGCGTGACTGTAGTTTGGTGTGCTGTGGCTTACCACAGGGCCCCTTATTGTTTGGGAACTCAAACAATGTAGATGAGAATGTGGTCAATGGAGGGGGCAATAACAGGAAGTTTGCAGACGTCACAAAGATTGGCCGAGTAGCCGACAGCGAAGAGGAGTGTTGCAGGATATAAATAATTGGTCAGAACAAAACAGATGGAATTTAAATGGCAAGGGTGTATTCAATGAATGAAGGGACACAAGGAAACTCAGAGGAAGAGATGAATCTTGGCATGCTCATCCACAGACTGCTGAAGGCAGCAGACAGTTGTTAAGGCAGTTTATGCGGTACTTACTTTTATCAGTCGTTGGATAGGTTATAAAAGCAGGGAGGCCATTCCGGAAGCTGTTTAGAACTTTGTACAATTCTGGTCACCAAACTATTGCAAGGATGTGATTGCACTGGAGAGGGTGCAATGAGGATTCACCACGATGTTGACTGGGATGAAGCATTTTAGCTTTGCACGGAGGCTGGATAAGCTGGAGTTCTTTTCTTTGGAGCAAAGAATGTTGAGAGATCTAACAGAGGTGTACAAGATTGAGGGACATGGCCAGGGTGAGTAGAAAGCAGCTGTTCCCCTTAATCAAAGGATCAATAACAAGGGGGCAGAATTTTAAGATGGAAATCAGGAAATTTGGAGGGCATCTGAAGAAAATGTTTTTCACCAAGAGGGTGGTAGGGGTTCTGGAATGCACTGCCTGGGAGGGTATCTAGGCAGGAAACCTCAACCTCTAAAATAAAAATACTTGGATGAGCACTTTAAGCATCATAACATTCACAGCTATGGACCTCAGGTGGGAAAGTGGGATGAGTACATTTTGGTGATACAGACTCAAGGGGCTTCTTCTACACTGTATCATTCTAGTTTTTTTTAAACTTGAAAATAAAAATACAGTAAAGAATTCATGAGAAATTTCTGCACTCAGTGACAAGAATGTGGAACTTACCAGTACATGGAGCTATTGAAACATTTAAAAGGGGAAAGAGAAGAATGTCAGAAGTAAGCAACTCAAGAAGATACAGGATGAAATAAAAAGGAAGGTGAATGAAGCAGATATGGAACAAAACCTGCTGGAATGAATCGTCTGTTTCAGGTCTCTAAAATTCTAAGTAAACAGTAAAAAGAACAAAATACTGATCATCAGCGCAATAATTCCATGGCAGCAGCAGTTTCCAAATAACAAACTTGCATTTCAGAGAGTAATAAAAAGAATGTATTCAAAAAGAACATGAACAGCCTTGCTCATGTTATAATCATGATAAACTGCAGTCAAAAAAATTCTGAATTCTCAAAACTATAGAGCTGAATTTCTTTTAATTTAAAACAATTGTTTTAAATTAGCAATTTAAAGAAATTGTGGAATGCACAACATTGAGAATGAGATTCACAAGTGATTTTGGTAGCATATTGAGGAAAACAGGAGCTTTCCTTTCTGTTTAAAAAAAAAAAAAAAAAAAAAAAAAAGAGTTTGCTTGATAATGCACACACTATAAATAAAAATTAGCATCAAGAAATCTTAACAGAAGAAACAAACATTCACCACTAATTCAAACATATAACCAAAGTCGTTACGGCATTCCCATCTGTCAATAACAACTCAGATCTGCATTACAGGATATTTATTTTGAACTATACACAATAATAAATGGGTATCCTTACAAAGAGTACACAGTGATTATGATATTTGTATTCTTAAAAACCTCTTGAATTATTGCAGAAACCTTGTCCCACTCCAGGTTGTCCAGCCCACATCCGATCCTGCAGAGAAAAGAATACAGTTTATTATAAAGTATAACTACATCTTGAGTTACAAAATACAATTAGAATAAAAGAATGCTAAATCCATGACACTCGTTATATCATGCATAAATTACTGAATCCATGTTATAACAGATCAGAAAACTAGGCTAGGTTAGAATGGAGTCTCAAATGAACTGAGACAAAAAAGTATAAAGTAACATAAGGCATGCCAAGTAGGTGCCAGTGAGCAGAGGAGAAAGATAAAACAAATGCAATCACAAACTGTTCCTGAAACTGCCCACAGTCCAAAAGAAAAAAAACTAAAGTCAGCAATGGAAGTCCACCAGAAATAAAAAAAAAAAATCATCAACACTCAACTGCATTCTTGTGACATGGACCCCAACATGTCCATACGAATCGAACTGAATCACTTAAAGATAATAGGAACTGCTGATGCTGGAGTCCGAGAGATAACAAGGTATGGAACTGGATGAACACAGCAGGCCAGGCAGCATTAGAGGAGCAGGAATGCGGACCTTTCGGGTCTGGACCCTTCTTCAGAAATGGGGGAGGGGAACGGGGCTCTGAAATAAATAGCAGGGTGGGGGGGGGGGGTGCGGTGATAGAAGGTGGATAGTAGAGCAGATAGGTGGAGAGAAGACGGTCAGGTCAAGGAGGTAGGGAGGAACTCCCTACCTCTCCCTTCTCTCAATTTATTTTAGAGCCCCCTTCCCCTCCCCCATTTCTGAAGGGTCCAGATCCAAAATGTCAGCTTTCCTGCTCCTCTGATGCTGCCTGGCCTGCTGTGTTGATCCAGCTCCACACCTTGTTAAATGAATCACTTGGCTTGTTCAATTATGCAATCAGTCCTGGCCCACTGAATGATTTAGCTTATGCCATGCCTTCCACTGATCTAGTAAAAATTAGCACTATGTTCTAATTACTGTAACAAGTCAGCTAACATGAAAATCCACTGAAAACTAGTTACTACTGTTGTCGCCATTTTATTGAATTCTCTTTATATCATCTCCTCCTTTGTAAATACAGCTGAACTTTAGTGAAGAATTCACAAACAAAATCAACTAATAGTTTATTTTAAAACTAAATTTAATTACGGCCTTTAAACTTCAAAACTATGAATGGCTCTTCAGAAGGCCAGTTGATTGTTCACTGACTGATAGTACAGCCGGTGTGCAGAGTCTACTTCACATCCATATAGATTTCTCATTGGATCTTTTATGCTTATAGACACAATATGGACAGAGCATTGTCAGCTTTCTACATTCGTGTTGAATTCAAAGAAGAGTTCTCTCCTTTTGGTTTACACTAACATGCTACAGTAACCACAATAAAATTGTTAATGAGGCCTTCTTCATAGCTGCTACATGTGCAATGAATAGTCTACAGGTAGTTTGAGGTTGTGAGAATGATCTTACTCCATGAAATACATGGTTACTAAACTGACTTTAAACAATAGTGTTAATACTTTTCTAGCCTGCTGGCAACTGATACTGCTGATGTCTCTGCTTTCATTTTCACATCCCATTAAAAAAACCTCAGTACCATCTTTTTATATTTTTAATACATCCTTCAAAACATTCAACTTCCACCTACATTCCTGCAAATCTTAACCTTTATTTCCCACCTTCTCAAAGTGCTGCATAAATGTGCAAGTCAGGAGGTTAAAGTTGTATACATGTGTTGGGGGCAGGAAAGTAAGTAGCAAGGCAAGATATGAATGGAAGCAATTTGGGGAAACGGAGTAAGCATAACTGTTGAGAAATCTGATCAAGATGAGGCATTAGTGCACTGGAAGACAAAAAGGACCATATATTCATTTGGACAAGGATCATATGAATGAGACTGTGCGGGGAACGGAATACCAGAACCTTAATTCTGAAAGTGTTGGAAGTTGTGAAATGTTCATGATGATATTTTGGCTTAAATCTAATTTATCTGGAGTACCAAATAGACAATTGTGATAAAACTGATAAAAGTGACAAATTTAAAAATTTTCCATCATTTATTACTTGGGCATTGATATTTGGAAGACTCCATTGCTCAGGCAGTGGTTCTTCATGGCCTTGAGGCTGCTCTGCAAATCATCATAAGTTGGTTTATCAGATGCCACCTTCTTAGTGATCTATAGAGGAATCAAATCATTCAAAAATCAGACAAAAATAGACAGTAATGACCAAGATATATTAAAAAGAGAAATTTTCTTAGGTCTGTCCTTAAATGTACTCGATCTCTCAAGTTTAAGTGAATTTCAGAAAACTATGTGGTTGCAGAAAATATTTCAATTTTGTTAAATTGCATTTATAATTCGAAAATAAATTGGCATCCCTTAATTAAATAACTAAAGGTATGTAGGAAACAAAGCACAACAGCAGAATATTACAAGAAGACTACTGACAGAACTACAAGTTAAAGCAAGGTGAAGTTGATAGGTTTATAGTCAAGGCTAAGTTTTGCACACAAGTCAACATTTTTAAAATAGAGATTGAATGCTACAAGTTTAGGGAGCTTATCTTCTGGTTAACAAAATTTTAAAAAAAAGGCAATTATGTTAAGCTCTGGGGAGTATAATTAGAACTTGTTAAAATCATGCAGGCAATGTATCTTAAATGTAGTAATTCTGTTGAAGTCTTGATATCAAATAATCAATTCTATAATTTATTTTCTATATTATTTGGCACATTTAAATTATCTAAACATCATGGAAATGATAAATAATGAGTCCATTATTCAATTATAAACATAGCTGGTTCCAATACCAAATAGTAAATGTATCGCTGATCTTTCTGCAGCACTGCCACCTCCCCAGTCTTCTTTTCTGAAAGAAAAAAAAATCACCAAATAAAATTGTTATGTGTTAAATAAAACTAGAGAAATAGAACAATTTGATAATGCAAAATGAATTAACTCATTTCATTACGCTAGCAAGTAGAAATCCACTTTTAAAAGGAAAGAGAACAAATAAGAACTAATAGTGAAGTTCATATTCAATTCTGTCGTAGACATGGGGAATCTTCTAGTTACCTTATCAGTTGGATATATTCAAATGGGTCATGGTATAGGTCATAGCTATGTTGTGCTCTCAGAAACCAGTACAGTAACAAACAAATTTAATGCAGTCAGGTAATGTAGATAAGCTGCAAGATGGGCATTTACTCTGTTTCAGCTACAATCAGGTTTTCCACTAAAAGCTGTTATTTATTTCTGTGCATGTTAGTTTATTCCACACAGTTTTCTTTTAAAATTGCCTCAAAAGCACTTTCCCAGCAAGCCTCAGAGGGCAAAATTGGCCCTTTTCTTTAAAAAAAAAATGAAAAAACGGGATCTTTGTTTCAAGTCAGGGCAGCACATGACTTGAATGGGAACATGCAGGTGCTGGTGGCCCCATGCATCTACACCCCATGGCCTTCTTGGCAGTACAGGCCATGGGCTTGGTACATCCTATCAAAGGACAATGTTGGTACGTTGTTGAAGTGCACGTTATGGATAGTCCACACCAGGCATCATGCGTTGGTAGGAGTAAATGTTCGAATGACCATGGAATTCATATGACACTTGGGTGATTGTGACTAAATTCTGGCAAGTCCATACATGGACAAAACAACACTGCAATGGAGTTGCTATGGTGATGGGTCCGAATAAGTTTTAACATTGTAAAATTCTTGCAAAAGCTAAAGCTCTATACTATAGATTTGTTGACTTTAGCTTGATGTGTATGTTTGTGTAGCCAGCTGTTCAACCTCCCTGTAGGTTAATTATTCTCAGCATCATTACCATGGAAATGTCATCATTCTTCACAATAACTTGCGCTTCAAATAATAAAGGACCTATTTATACACTGCCATCTCAATTACGGTCAGAATAAAACAAACTTTTCAGGCCTGTTGACTAGGTAATGATATTTATTGGTATGTAAATGATGGATTGCATTTAAAAAAATTCTTTTCTCCATCTTTTGCTCAAATTTACTTGCACGTATTGTACTAACCACGAGAGAAGTATTAATTGAGCTGTGGATTTTTATATCATTTAGAATTCACGTACATTATTTTAATTTACTTTTTGGTTTGATGACCAGCCTTTATAAGAGGTTTGGGTGGCAGTAAATTTATCAGCCCAACATCTTTGAGTATTTCAACTATAACTGCAATTCTACTTTATAATGCAATAAACCTTCTAAATTAAGATAATAACAGCAAAATCACGTTCCTACTATTGTTTATCAGAAGAAATGCTGTGAAGAGGTCCTAACAGACAGAATGTCTTTCTTCCTAACAGCTGCTGAAATGATCTGCTTTGCAATCGTAGCATTTTTCATTTTTTTTGTTTCTAGCATTCTATATTCTTTGACTTCAACATCTTTTTTCAGCTTCTGAGCAAAGCAACTTCCCTCCATCCAACCAGGCAATTCTTTTGTGATTTTGAAAGACACAAATCACATTTCCAATATTTCAGGATGAACTGAATCATAATGCTATGGTCTAGAATTGAAAGTGGCAAGACAATGAGCACAAGCATATGATCCAACACAAGGGATTTAGGATTGAGAATTGAATCCTTATTTCTAACATTATGGCAATGGAGTCATGACTATGGTGAAAATACTGGAAGAGGGAAAAAGGCTAATTCCAAGTTGGTTGAGGAAAATGACAGACATGCGGAAGGTAGCATAATTGGAACAGATCCATACTTGGCTGATTCGTAATGTTCTGTGATATTTACCTGGTGTGACTAACATGCAACTCCAAACCCACAGCAATATGGTTGATTCTAATCTGATCCCTCAAATAGCTGGTCAAATCACAGGCAGTAAGGGATGGCCAATAAATTCTGACCTTACCAGCAACATCCTTCTCTCATGAATGAAAAGTTTTTGAAAAGATGTGATAGCAATGGAGAAACTGCAAGAATGGAGTGAAGTCGTGCCAGGAAACAGACTTGACTACAAAAACAGAAGTTGCTGGAAAAGCTCAGCATCTGTGAAGAAAAAAAAAAAAAGAATCAGCGTTAACATTTCAGGTCTGGTGACCCTTGCTCAAAATTGATGGTGGCTGGGAAAATGTCAGTTTATATGCAGAAAATAGGGAGGAGGTGGGTAGGGAGTAAATGATAGGATAGAGCCTAAAGAGAGAGAAGAACAGTTGGACAAACAAAGGAGTTGATAACGATCTGGCTGGAAGGGTGAATAGTTGTTAATGGAGACTGTTAGTGACCAACAACAGGTGGTTTCTAATGGCAGGCTATGTGATAACAAGGTGTGGATGTGGGAGATAGGAGGTTGGGCCCTAAAAATTATTGAACTCAATATTTAGTCTGGAGGGCTGCAAGGTCCCCAAGCAGAAAATGAGGTGTTGTTCTTACAGGTTGCATTGAGCTTTGCTGGAACACTGCAGCAAGCCAGAGACAGATGTTGGCCAGGGAACAGGGTAGTGTGTTAAAAGCAGCAGGCAACAGGTAGCTCAGGGGTCTTTTTTGCGAGCAGAATGTAGATGTTCTGCAAAGCAATCACCCAGTCTATGCTCTGTTTCCCCAGAGGAGACCACATTGTGAGCAGCGAATGCAGTAGATTAGATTCTGGGAAGTGCAGGTGATGTGTTTCTTCACTTGGAAGGTATGTCTGGGCCCTTGGCTACTGGGGAGGGAGGGGAGTACATGGGCAGGCGTTGCACCTTTGCCGGTTGCAGGTGTGTGTGGGGGTGAAGGAAGAGTGGACCAGGGTGTCATAAAGGGAACGGTTCCTGCGGAAGGCAGACAAGGGAGGGGAGGGGAATGTGTGTGTGTCTGGTGGAGGCATTTCGCTGGAGGTGGCAGAAATGGCATCTGATGATCTTCTGGATGTGGATGCTGGCGGGATAGTAGGTAAGGATAAGGGGAACCCTATTGCTGTTTCAGGAGGGAAGACAAGGGGTGAGGGCAGAAGTGCCGGAGATGGGTCGGACCCAGTTGAGGGCCCTGTCAGCAACAGTGCTGGTGAATCCTCAGTTGAGGAAAGTGGGCATTTTGGAGGCTCCCTTGTTGAAGCTGGCCTCATCTGAACATATACAACAGATGGAGGAACTGAGAGAATGGGATGGAGTCTTTACATGAAGCAGGGTGTGAGGATGTATAGTCCAGGAAGCTGTGGGAGTCGTTTGGTTATAGTGGATACTAGTGGCCAGTCTATCTCCAGAAATGGAGAAAAATGTCGAGGGAGATAGAGATAGACTAGGTGAAAGGGAGGGCTGGGTGGAAATTAGAAGCGAAATAGATGAATTTTTCCAATTCTGGATGAGAGGGGGAAGCAGCACCCATTATATCATTTATATAATCGGAGAAAAAGAGTTGTGGGTAGGGATCAGAATAGGACTGGAACAAGGAATGTTCCACATACCCCACGAAGAGACAGGCATACTACAGTCCATATGGGTACCCATGGCCAACGCTCTTGACAGAAGAAAATAAGACATGTTAAAAGAGAAGTTGTTGAGAGCGAGGACGAGCTTGGCTAAGCGGAGGAGGGTGGTGGTTGGTGGGGATGGTTCAGGTCTTTGCTCCAGAAAGAAGCAGAGAGCCCTAAGACCCTCCTGGTGGGGAATGGACATGTAAAGGGGATTGCATATCCATGGTAAAGAGGCGGCGGTTGGAACCTGCAAACTAGAAGTTTTGAAACCAGTGTAAGGCGTGAGAGGAATCATGGATGTACATGGGCAGGGACTGAACCAGGGAGAGAAGACTGAGTCAAGGTAGGAAGAGAGGAGTTCTGTGGGGCAGGAGCAGGCCAAAACAATGGGTCTGCCCAGACAGTCCTGTTTGTAGATTTTTGGAAGGAGGTAGAAGTCAGCTGTGCGGGGCTAGGGGACTAATCAGCTTGGAAGCAATTTTTTTTGGGGGGGTGGGGGTGGGGAAGGGTAGGAAGATGATCACCAGATGAAATAAGATCAGTTAGCATAGTAGATACAATGGCCTGGTGCGTCATGATGGGGTCATGGTCCACAGGATGATAGGAGGTGGTATTTGAGAGCTGGTGCTTAGCTTCTGCAAGGTAGAGGTCAGTACACCAAACTACCACAGCACCACCCTTATCGGCAGGCTTAATAATAAAGTCAGGGTTAGATCTAAGTGCATGGAGTGAGGTCAGTTCGGAAGGAGATAGGTTGGATTTTGGAGGGGGGGGGGGGTGTGGGCAAAGAAATTGAGGAGACTAATATTACGTCAACAGTTCTCAATGAGCAAATTAAGTGCAGGTAAAAGGCCAGAGCGAGGGGTCCAGGTGGAGGTAGAGTGTTGGAACTAGGCGAAGGGGTCGGTGGAACGGGGAAGAGAACTCTTGTCTAAAGAAATGGACACGGAGGCGAAGATGGCAGAAGAGTCTGGCGTCATGTCATGCCGGAAATTCATCAAGGTGGGGGACGCAGAGGAATAAACCTGAGGCCGTTCCGTTGCTGAGCACAGAACAGTCAGCATTGGAGAGCGGAAGGTTAGATGGGATGATGAATACCCAACAGGAGGTGGGGTTGGGAGAGGGGATGGAGTCAGAGGGAAGGGGAGGAGAGGAAGGTTCCAGAGGGCCATGAGTATCTTTGAGTTGTTGAAATACCCTCTATGGGCACGTTGAATACGATGGGTCATGGACAGATTGTCACAGGATGATACTGAGGGTATGTGAGGATCGGTACAGATGCACAAATAGACAACAACTGTGGGACAGGAAGCGAATGAGTGTGGTGGGAAGAAATAAGAGGAGTGATGGTTTACGTTTAAATCTTTATGATTATACTCTGCTGGAGCCCTAAGGTAGGCTGTCTGCTCGGCCTGCCTTGCGAATGGAACAGCCCCTTCGCTCTTCTTGGGTTACCTGGCACAGGTCCCAAACCAAATCAATAGCTTCCCCTACCCCTGCGCAGAAGGTCGGAAATGCAGGCAGCACTTTTCAGAAGTTGAGTTTGTGAAGCTGGGATTTCTCTCGTCTTTGTGCATAGACCCAGGAATGAAAATTGGGGTCTTGAAGAAACAGAGTTCAACTGATTATTACCAGAGTTAATGCTTGAAGCAGGAATGACGTAAGCCTTTAAGGCATGATTATTTAAAGGGCCTGAAAGAGGATTAAAAAGGTCAGTGGTGCAGGAGAGAGCAAAAAAAATTGATATCAAAGTGACGAATAAACAGCAACATGGGTCAGACAAAGATTGAAACACCTTACTGCTTCTGAAGGAGTTGGCTGCTTGATTTGTTTCTCAAATGGCAAGACACTGGGTGGATTTAAAAAAGCTTTGCAAACCAGTAACACACCTGCTTCTTTAAACTGTCAGTCAATCATTAAAGCGACTTCTGAAACTTTACTGTCTTACTCTGATTCTGCAGCTCCTCAACGCATCCATATTTCTTCTTGAACAAGACTGCTATGCCTGCCTCCATTTCACAATCTTCACTGATACAATGTGCCAGTGCATCCTTCTCTGGGCATGAGAACAGATCACCTTTCAGGTAACGAATCTCAAAGCTCTGCATAGTCAATTAAAAGGAATCATTAGATATTAACCATACTTGGAAGATGTGCTATTTTCACAAATCTTTTTGATAGTTGAGTATTTTTTAGTTCAAAGCATCCATGCAGTTTTTTTTGGAGAAGGACAAAGACAACAAGAAATTGGAAAAACGATAAAAGGCCATTCACATCATGGATCTTATTCACTTATACTCATGTTCTTTTTATCACACTTTATTAATAATGGAACTGGAAGCCTTTTTTTGTGGCCACTTAAACAAGGTTCTACAGAACTGCAGTTAACTGGGCACAATACTTATTAATATAAGCTGATAACTTGATGTTTAGATAAAGTTTCCATACCATTTGTGTATTAATTCAAAATACTGTATTAAACAAAAAGGATAAAGAGCCAAGTAATCACAGTGACCCATACTTACATTGCCCTCTTGTGGCTTCTCTGAAGAACTAGTCATTTTTCTCCTTTATTCCCCAATTTAGTTTGTCCTTCCTTCAAAGCAGAAATATAAATTTTTTAAAATTGTAATCTTAATTCAATCGAGGGTGATTATTATCAAGCTCACAATTCAGAATGACGTTGATTAAAGTGTCACTCCAAAGACTTCAGCTCAAAACCTACATTACAGAAGTAACAAACAGGCCTGCGTTTGTCAAGGGTGCTACTTCTCTGTAACGTAACATCTCAACTCTGAAATCCGACATGGGTAAGTGAGAAAATTGGTACATTGTTTGAAATAACCAGCAAGGAGCTTCCCAACAGCAAGAGTGAAATGTCCCATTTTCCAACTCAGTATTAAACAGCGAGGCAAGATTCTGAGCAGCGAGCACAAGATGCCCATTTGTGTATATTAACATCTCATTGTTACCTAATTCTATTCATTTGAAGTTTCTCATTCTCCCAACTACTGGATAGAGACAATAATTTCTGACATGAAATGGAGCAGCATACCTAATGACTACAACTTGGCACTTGCTTCTCGAGCTTCCATTTTTGGCAGAGGCCATTTGGTCCATTGAGTCTGCACCTATCCTCTACAAGCATCCCACCCAACCCACTGCCCCATCCTATCCCTCCAGCCCTGTATTAACCATGGATAATCCACCTAGCCTACATACCCCTAGACACAACGGGGCGATTTAGCATGTCAATCCATCTGAACTGCACATTTTTGCACATAGTGTGGGCAGTGACTGCATGCAATCCAATCTTCATACATTGGCATTCTATTGCACCACAGCATCACGACACATCTCAAATCCACTTACAATATATGTCTGCACTTTCATATTACACTTTGAAGCATAGCAGCATCGTCTATTGGAATACTGCTGCTAGGACAAGGTTGTGTGCATCTCAGGGATCCTCATTTCCTTTGTGACCACTTAACTTTGTCCCTGTTTTAGATGCTCACAGCACCCCAGCATTGCCCAGACAGCCAGAGCTGAATAGCCCAGTGCTTCCGTTTTACCATGTTGCATAGCTCAGACAAAGCCAGACAACTTTACATGGCTGTCAACTGTCAGTCAAGCATGTACGATTGACATAGTACTAAACAGCAGCCTATACAGCAAACATACTGCACATGCTTCAACCAAATAGCCATATCTCAATTTAAGGGGCGTACAGAGGAAGGGGGAGCCTCCATCAGAAGATAAGTCCAGGCACAGTAAATCCAGGGCTTTGTCCAATCTCAGTCCAGGCACTGGCAAAAGCATCATCTCGTTTTCCCTGTGCTGTGCTCAGTTCTGCAGCCCAGGCAGTAGGCTTTTGCTGGCACCCTTCATATGCAGGGAAGATGAACTGTACATACATGACATCGAGAGGGCCATAATCGTAATTCAGCTGGCGTTAATAGAAAAAATGGGTTCCATTCCATTAATGTGCAGGTCATTCATGATTATTAGTACCAGATCCTAACACTCTGCACAGGTTCCCTGGGAGCTGCAATTAGACCTATATTCTTGAGAACTCAAATTGTTATGCCATTTTAAAGAGACGATGTCTTACAAGGATGGTTATTGGCAGACACAGGCGTCTTCTGTGACCATGGCTGATTCCTCTATTTGGCCACCCAAGGCCGAGATTTACGTGCAGCCCATTCGTGGTCCAGGTCATGATGAAGCAGATGATGCAAGTCTGCTGAAGATGAGGTTCTGATGCTTGGATCAGTCTGCAGTCACCTTGCAGTATACACCAGAGAGCGTGCTGCTTAATCCTAGCATTTTGGAACAAGCAAAAAAAAGTTGAGGGCGCAGTCTCCCCAGGAGGAAGATCACCTTCTGCATGAGAAAATGTCGCAGTGTCAGACACAAAGATTAACAGGACTTAATTGACATCTTAGTCCAGTATGTGAGGTGGGCAGTGATCATATCATTGGCTTTGAAGTCGTTGTTTGCCTTTTCGAGCACCAGTCTGTTTCTGTTGGTTTAAGTATTGTTCACTCTCGTTGTCGCTGAATTTTAAAAAAAAGTGAATCCTTTGAAGAGTTTCGAAGACTTTCCCAATGTGATGTTAGCACCCTGAACAATGTTAAGATATTGGGCTATACTGGCCGGTGAGGAAATAAAAGCACTGATTAAGAGAGAGTATAGCAAGATAGGACGTGGCCAAGGATGGGTATGTTGTGTGGCTGGATTTTAAAAACAGCAGTAGATACAAGCATACAGTTGCGTAAGCAATGAAAAAAGTCAGCTGTGCTACTTATGTGTCCCGACAAATGATACCTTGTGCCTATAGCAGGAGAACATCCACAATGAAGGAAAACTCTGAACTGCCAATGCTTGACCAGGGGCAGTGTTGGAAGCTCTGAAGTAGCAACGTCACAATTTTAGCTTGCGACACCATTTTGGTTCCGGCTGTCACTTTGAAACTCAATCTCTCTGCACATCCTCACTTAACGTACACCCCAAATTCCCTTCACAGGACATATAGAAATTTGCAGTCTTTTAAAATCATCCAAATTGTTCCATCTTTTGTTTGTGCCTCATTTGCTAGTTGTGATTTGAAAATTCGATACTGACATACAATTTTTTTTCCCCTCTAGTAATAGCGAAATGCATTTTAGATGGCTTCTACATGCTGCCTCATCTTTAAAATAATCTTACATATGATCAAATGCATTCTTAGCAGCAACATAGTCTTCAGAATATGCAGTGCTGCATGTACAAACTGAAAATATTTTACTGCAAATTGCTATATAAATCATATATGAATTTTGAGTTCTACAAATACACATCCCACACAAACTCATTTCCAGTGTTAGAAGATTAGTTCTGCCTTATTTAATACTTGCTTAAAATTGCCCACATTAATTTGCATTAGTTACCTTACAATATAGGTCTTTTAGGTCAGCAGGAAGCTAATTTGCATGACTGCGTAGCCAAACAACATCTCCTTGGGACAGAGACAACGGAATTCCTGGAAGTGCAAACAAGTCCCTTCCTAACTCATCAAGATGAAGGATGATCAGTCAAACATAAATGATTAAGGCTATAGAAAATGAATGACTTTGTTATGAACTAATAGCTAAAAAGGGAAAGCTATGCAAGTCTAGTCCTCTATATTGTCCTGAGCTTGAGTACAAAGGAAAAATTGAATTAGAATCAACAATTTCTCATTTACTCTGTCCAGATTCCCCATGAATTTGAATAATTATCAGATTTCCTTGAAGGAAAACAAGTCTTACTTCTCCAGTCTGTTAAACTGAAGTTCAGCTCTGGAATCACCTTCCCTAACGCTTTCATGTTTTGCCTAAGAGCTGAGCGCAATACTCAGTTGATGCCAAACCAGTGTTCCGTACAAAATTTAAAACACTCCTTGTGTTTGTATGTTATTCCCTATTAATAATGCCTATGATACATCAAGCACTCTCGATGTGATGTTACCTTCATTGACTTTTGCACAAAAGATCTCTGCTCCTGCACCTTTTTCAGAATTGTATCCTTCATTTTATATTGTTTGTCTGTATTCTTTCTAACAAAAGGAACCTCACATTTCTGTTAGTTAAATTTCAAAATTTATTTGCTGATTCCAACTTATGTCCTTTTTGACAAGTTCTACATCAACCTCCTCATTGTAAAGCTTGGAAGTATTGTGAACATGGAGGACGTAACTTCAAAGTTGACTACTATGTTTAAAAAAAAAGCTCTAGGTCATTTTATCAAGAGCAGGGATCCTAACTCCAAATCTGCTGGAACTTTATTTAAACTTGGAAGGTTTAAAATGTTCTCCATTATTGTGTCACTTTCACTCAGCCAATGAAAATGAAGTGTTTTACTTAGCCCTTCTATAAAGGGGGGGGGCGGAGAGAAAAGTTCTAGTTGCTTGAACTAACTCTAACTTTGGAGAGAAAAGGGAAACACAGCAGCAACTGGGAAATAGAAAATAGGAGCAGCAAGCCTCTGGCACCATTCAGCAAGGCACAGCTGCTGCGTTTCAAATTCCACACTGGCATCCACCCCAATATTACTCAATTCCCTCTCAACCCACATTACCCCCTACCTCCAACATTTCTTGCTGAAAACCTTAAATTATGTACTGTGTCCAGTTCTGGCTACCCAGTTATAGAAAGGATATTATTAAGCTAGAGGGAGTTCAGAAGAGATTTACTAGGATGTTGCCAGGTATGGAAGGTTTGAGTTTATAAAGAAAGGCTGGATAAGCTAGGACTTTCTCCATTGGAGCATAGGGAGTTTGCGAGGTGACATTATAGAAGTTTATAAAATCATAAGGTGTATAGATAGGGTTAACAGTAGGTGTTTTTTTTCCCTAGGATGGGGGATTTCAAGACTTGGGGTCACATTTTTAGGGTGAGAGGAGAGAGATTTAAAATACATACATGAGGGGCATTCTTTTTAAAGATAGAGGGTGGTTTGCATGTGGAACAAACTTCCTGAGGAAGTGGGGTTGTGGGCAGACACTTGGCTAAGTACATGAATAGGAAAGGTTTGGAGGAATATGGGCCAGGAGCAGGCAGGTGGGACCAGTTTAGTTTGGGATGACGTTTGACATGGACTGGTTGGACCAAAGGGTCTGTTTCTGTGCTGTATGACTTTAAAGGCCAGAGAGCACAGAATCAGACACAAAGACATTTTTGTCTATTTTACTTAAACCTATCATAATCTTATATACTTTATCAAATCACCACTCACTAAATCTCCATTGCTCCAAGTAGGTTTGGTGTTGAAACTGCGTATCCACAAATCAGTAGTGCTTAGCTAGCAATACATTCACAGCACAAATATTTCATCAACTAAATTATGCTCCATTTTGTTTTTACTGCTGGTTGATGCTAAAGCATTCATACCCATCACTGGGGAGAAGTAGTACAGAAAACCTTGGATCAATTGTGGCAGTTGTCTGGGAGCTGATTAGAGGAAGTCTGAGTGATACTAAGCAATATCACAAAGGGCAGGGAGCACTACAAAAACATCTGAAGCCTGGTGGACAGCTGCAGAAGCCAGAGAGTTTTAGCCACCCTCCATGAGCAACATTAAATGGAAAAGTCAGCTGTCAGGTTCTCATCACCACACAGGACAGACTTTAAGAAAGCAATGAATACTCCTTCCTCAGAAGACGAAAGACACAAGAGAGAGCATACTAATATCAATTTTTTTTTAGAAAAAAGGAGCACAATGAGCTCTTTCCCCAGAGTGTGGGAACAATTTCCCATTCGTGTGAAATAACACCATAACTACAACCTTGGAAACCAGTACGGCATTGAAAATACAAGTGAGTAGAGTGATGGGACTGAGGAATTAACTGGAGCCAAGACACCAATCATGGCTTTTTTGTACCTAAAAGTGATTATGTCTTAATGTGTGGTTTCAAACCACTTTCAGATATCCTGACATGGTGAAAGACATTATACATACGCAAGCTTATAAGTTTCTTTCTCAGCATGACCCTCAAAATAGTCGAGAAAAAATTTAAGTTAATTGCAGAAAGAAACTATTTAATCCTTTTTTCAGTAGATTGTGAATAACATTCTTCTCGCACATTCCTGTGACACTCAGACAGAACTGCTAGTTTCTATTGAGAGTGTTCGGAAACTGGCCACGGAGGAAGTACATAACGTTGTTAGGAGGTCTGCATTTCCTACTTCCTCCCCATGAGCTTCTAGGTTTTGTAACGAATTTGTACTCTGCATTTCTTGGTTGCTGCATTCAGGACTACATTTGTGTATTGCTAGGTTCTTTGAATTTTCACAGGTCTTTGCACTTTACAACATTTGAAGAGGGAAGCTTTATCAGGTCACTTGAGCAACTATTTATGTCCTGTACCTCCTAGCTACTCTCTGCGTAGAAAAACAGGGTAAGACAAAAACAAGATTTAATTTTTGTCCTTTAACGGATGCAAGAGAGCACTCAGTAGACTACACACTTCTGCCACAAATGTGTTAACTCCATGTTATTACAATTGCCTTCTGCTATTGCCTTCTTCCCTGCTTGGTCAATGTTCTGTCGCTATCTTTTTATCAAAAGCTTTCATCTCACAGAACAGGCTGGAAGCCAATCCATTCCAAAAATTCTGCTCACATTTTAACTGTGGTGAAAAATTCTAACAGTAGCTGAAACAATAACATTCATAAGACACAACATCAATTCTTTCCATCCCAAAATGTTAAAAGGATTGTTTATACAAATTCCAGGAGCCACATTTTTGTCAATTTCAAAACTGGAACCTGCATCAAGTTGATATGCAGACATTTAGTTTGCGATGTACCATTTACAAATAGGCGAATAGGGTAAAAAATTACCTGCACCCACTTTTGGAGACACAGGTAACAAGTGAAAAGAAAATTTAATTCCCTACGTTCTATCCCATTAACTTGACAGAAAACTGTTAGAGTGCCAAAGGAGGCCATTTGGCCCACTATACCTGGACCAGTTCTATTACCTAGTACAAATCCTTTACAACAGTTTTTTCTGCCTATATCCTTACACACCATTCTTAATCTAAATAATCATCCAATGCCTGTATTTTTCAATTGAAACTGGCTCTACATTTCCAGGCTTTGCAAGGTAAAAGGTCAGAATGAAAATGAAGTGAACAGCATTATACACATGATCTAAAACTGATTCACGCATCCGTGAATCAGTGATCTCAGCGTGCAACAAATGAAATAAGACGCTGTTGATGATAGTGCCAGGTTCTCAAAATTTACTACTAATTTTGAGGAATTAAGGAATGGACTACCACAGACTAACTCAAGCCATGTTCATTAAAGCTATGATGGAGAATTATGATTAGAATTGAGGCTTTTTATAGCTAAAATAGAATCAGTGCGACAATTATCTACTATTGCTACTGCTATTCTGGGGCAGAGAAGTGGCACTATCGTTCCAAGCCAGGATAGTGTATGCCTTGGAGGAGAACATGTGGCTGGTGGTGTTTCTATACCTCTGTTGATCTTGTCCTTGTAGGTGGTAGAAGTCAAGTTTGGAAGGCATTATCGATTCCGTTCTAGTACTTGCTGTAGCTTCTTCTGGGTAAAGAATGTCTGTCGAGTGCATCATATCCCTGGCACAGCTGATATGGCAGGAGAGCCTCTCCTGCCAGTTTATTTGTACATTCAACTTGTAATTTTTATTTCACTGCAAACTGCAGCTGGTGTTTTTGAACATTCTAAGTGTGCAATTGTGATCCCTTTTGATTATATTTTCCTTTGAATGCCTTTCAGCCTAGATGTGTGACACTTTCCTGGTTAGGCGGTTCACCAACTATTCCCAGTGAAATGCCCTTGCACTCCTGGTTTCACTCATTTCAAATATCTCCTCAAAATTATGGCTTAGATATCTCAATTCTGACATTACTCAAAAGATTTGTTTCAGGGATCAGATATTACTCAAGAGTTAAGCACTTAAGTTTGTTTTACAAATTAAGCAGCAACATATAGTGGCAGCTCACACGCAAGACGTGAGCAGGATATGAATTTGGATGACACAAATAAGGATAGTCCGCAGTCCCTGATTGGACAAATGGAAGGAAATAGCTTAGTCTCTGCATCAGCTTCCTCCATGTGCCTATTTTTCAAGCTGATTGAGGTGTTAGGCTGCAGATACCATGCATCCACTGGGACGTGTCCTTCATCTATTCCTTCTTAAGTGCCTAATTATGGGCACAGCTGGCAAATACTCCATCTCAAACATGCAATTATATTTTCAAATATGACTGTCAACTGGCCTAATTGTCCAGAAGGGATTAAGAGTCAAGCGCATTACTGCAGGTCTGGAGTCATACGTAGGCCAGACCAAGTAAGGATGGCCGTTTCCTTCCCTAAAAGGGCAGTGAACCAGATGGGTTTTTCCTGACAATTGACAATGGATTCATGGACATTACAAGATTCCTTATTCCAGATTTTTATTGAATTCAAATCAAGGTCCCCTGAACATTGTTTGGGTCTCTGGATTAACAGTCCAACAATAATACCGCTAGGTCATTATGTTACAATAATGCCTGTAGCAGGTTCTACAACTTTATCTCGCAATGCTATAACACTTTCTCAAAGAACATACCTTGCAAAGACATTGGAAGCAGTAGGGGTCTTGTTAGCCAAATGATAGTTCCAACATATCCTCACATCATACAGCTGTCTATTGTCAAACCTTATGATTCACATGAGGTGGGAGGGCATGAAAAGACATGAAATTAGCCTGGCTGCTGGCCGACAACATCAAAATGACAATGGCAAACTCATCCTTTTCAATCCTGCAAATTCCAGCAACATCTGGGGACTTTATCAAATTGGGAGAGCTGTCCCACAGACTAGTCAAGCAACAGCCTAACACTGTTACTCATGGAATCATACCTAATAGACAACACCCCAGACACCATCATTACCCAGAACGTCCTGTCACGGGGGCAGGTGGCAGCAGGCAGCACAATGATATATAGTCATGAGGAAGTTGCCCTGGGTCATCTCATCATTGACTCTGAATCTGAAAGTCTCACGGCATCAAGTCAAACATGGGCAAGGAAACCTCTTGCAAATCCTACTCTGCCACCTGACCAATGAAAATCAGTAGTCATATTGAATGCTAAATAGTAGAAACACTGAGGATGGCAAGGGCACATAACATGGTCTGGATAGAAGACATCAAATGTCCATTGCCAAGAATGACTCAGAAGCAGCATGAATGACTAAGCCCTACTGGCCCTTTAACAGGCAGTAAGGGAGGCAAAAATAAAGCAAAACCATATTGACTTCATTATCACCAATCTACCTGTCACACATGTATGTTCTTATATTGGTAGCAGTGATCACTGCACAGTTCTTGGGGAGACAAAGTCCACCTTCGCTGTGAGGATATTCTCCACATTTTGTGGAAAAAAAAAGTCACCACAGGTTTCAAGCAGGTTCATTAATTCATAACTGGAGGCAATGAATACAATTCTGCTGCTAATAGTCTACAGTCAAACCATAATCTCATGGTTCACCATAACACTCAATCCACCAAGCCAGGGGACCAACCTGAACGTAAAAAGGCTTCAGGAAAGCATTCCAGGAACAGCAACAAGTATACCCAAAATGAGGTTCCAACTGGGTGAAGCTCCTTGCATGTTTAACAGTGGAAGCAGCATACCATAACAGGGCCATACAATCCCACTACCAGCCCAGGGATCTGGATGTGGCAAGACTGCAGAGCACAGTTCTGAATGGTGGTGGACATTTAAACAACTCATGGAAGGAGGATACTCAAATATTCCCATCTCTGATGAAGGAATGTAGCAGAGTGCAACAGACAAGGCTGAAGTACTTACAGTCTTCCAATTGTTGGTGTTGACAGGTACTACTGAGTAGATGATCCATTTCAACCTCCTGAGGCACCGAGCATCTCAGATCCCAGTCTCCTACCAATTAAATTCACTCAAGCCACATAAATAAATAAATAGATTAAGGCATTGGACATTGCAAAAATTCTAAGTCCGGACAGCATTCTAGCATGGCACTGAAAGCATGATTTAGAACTAGCTACGTTTCTTGCCAAATTATTCCAGTATATCAACTGGAATGGCACCTGCCTGGCTCAAGTAAGCCTTGTCCACAAAAAGCAGGTCAGATTGCATATGTCCTAATGATCTACCTGTGATCAAAGTAATGGAAGGTGACATCAACAGTTCTAGCAAGTGGCATTTGTTCAGCAGTAACCTGTTCGTGGACCGTCAGGTCATCCAGCGGAGTCACTGAGCTCCTGATCTCACTGCATTCTTGTCCAAACATGAACAGAAGAGGTGAACTCTATAGGAAGGGGAGAATATCACCTTTGACATCAAGGCAGCATGTTGACCAAGTGAAAATGTTACAACCAGGTGAGGGTGAAATTGGCTGATTTTAAACCCCTCTTAGTCATAAGTTTTTCAAACAAAGCACTTGATTATCTTCTTTCAATTAACAACTTAAGTTAACCAAAAATAGACAATTCAAAGTTTGAGAGCAAAACAATGTTTGAGTGTTATTACTTATTAAAACCAAAGAAAATAGGACATCAAACATGGGTAAGAAGCCAGAGTCACAGGTGTGCAGGTGGTGTTGCAAAGAGAAAGCATCAATACAAAGTAGAAAGATCAAGCAATTGTAGTGTCAAAATACTCAAGTCCAACTATTTAGAGATAGTAGGAACTGCAGATGCTG